CAGGAACGGGGAGGGACGGAGGTGGGAACTGAGCGGGAGCGGAGGAGGCACCGTAGAGGGGGAGGTTGGGCCGAGCCGCCATCGCATCACTGCCCGCCGCGCCCCCTCAGAGCGCGCTGAGCGCGGCGGTCCCGGAGCCGCCCGTGGCTGCCCCCTCCTCGCTCGGGCCTCGCAGGTTGTGTACGAGGTAACTGGAGCAGCCCTCAGGCCGCCGGGGTTCCGCCGCCCTGCTCCCGCTGTGAGCGGGCTGTGCCGGACGGGAGCGGCACGGAAAGGCCGGCCAGGAGGGACACCGGGAGGGGTGGTGTGCCGCAGGTACCCGCACCGGAGCTACCGCAGGCATCAGCCGGGCCTGGTTACCCTCAGCCCCCGCGCTAGCGACCCCAGGTTGGGATCGGGGCTGCTCCGGATGGTCCCTCCGGGGCCGTGCAGTTCCTCCCCTTTTCGACATTTGACACCGGTTGTTTGTTGCTTTTTCTCCCTGGTGCTTTGCTTCACGTTATTTTCGTTTCTAGGTATTTGGTTTTGTTCAGGCACTGGTACTCACACGCTGCAAAGGTAGCGAGTGCTGTTAATAAACATCAGTAACTTGAGGACAGGCAAAGTCAGACAAGTTCAGAAAGAATCGTTTTACACACGGCTGGTGCCATGCACTGTAATAAAGTTTGCTGTAGCAGTACTTGAATTTACTGCTTTAGAGCTGTGTCTCTTCTGTGGTGGTTCCAGTAAGGTGACTCACACAAGGACTGGCGGCTCCTAGTACTGCTTAATTTCCCGTGTTGAATAAGAGAATAGTAAAGGCTTAGTGTGGTACATATACTGTGATATTTCCCCTGTGTTCAGATGTCTGTTTTTGTGGTCCTTTAGTGAGCAAATCCTGAAAACATTTACTGCAGGAGCATTTGTGGTATTCCAACGTGGATTTAATATCGTTTTCACACAATAAATACAGACACACAGGAATTGGTGTGATTCTGTGGAGGCTGACACAGCAGAATGCCCTGGTGGTGTATCTTGGCCAGGGTCTGTGGTGTGACACTGATGCCAGGAGCCACCTGTGCCATCTTTGCCTGTGGGTTGGGAGAGTTCCTGGTCCCTCTTGTCTTGGAAATAATTCCTGTTCTGGGTTCTGGCATGTGAGGGTTCAGCCATGCACCTCACAAGGTCAGGAAGATTTGCTACTACTGATGTAAACAAACATTTTTTGCATTAGTGCTTTTGTAGCAGTTTTTGAAATTATTGTAGTTCCGTATATCCAGGCTTGTATTTCCTATCAACCTGTTGTATGTATTAATGAAAACACAATGTGAATTTCTGGGGGTTTTTGCTACATTAGTGGTGTGTAAGCCCATTTTGTGTGTTTTGGCCTGTTCTGCAAACTTCACATGAGAAGTTCAGAGACACTAAATACCAGAGAGTAAGTAAAAAAAGCATGAGAAAACAAGACACACAAAACACCATTCTCTTTCCAAGAAACTTTCAATGAAAAAATATAGATTGTCTTTGATACTGTGTTACATTATCCTGGAATTATAATCTGTTTGTTCCTTCTTTAGAAGATTTTAATCACAAGGAATTCAGGTTTACCCTAATTTCTACCTTATACATTCAGAGGAGGATGTGAAATGTTTTGGTACTACTACAGCAATGTTCAAGTTGTTAACTGTTTTCAGCAGTGAATTGTATCGATTTTGTCCTGGCAGTTTTCTTCTTCCAGTTTGATTTCTCCTAGTCAGTAATAAATAAGACTTTTTCCAATGTCTGAAAATAAACATGGCCATGTAAATCTCAGAAAGTGGTTTCTCTTGTTTTTTTTTCAGCAGTTTTGACCCTGGGTAGGAGCCTGTTCTTCATGTGTCAGAACTCTTCATTTTGAACTTTTATTTTAATAGTGCTTCTAAGAAGATGTCCAGTCCAGATCCCCTTACAAATACAGAGAAGGAGTAAGTACTTTTTTTCCCTAGATGCAGAAATACAATTACTGGATTATAACATGAAAATTCTTGCAGTTTCATTGGTAGGATCTTGTTTTGATGAAGTCTTAAAGGAAAATAACTTTGATATTGACGCAGTCTGTAGATAAGCTAACACCAACACCAGTGAATTTACACATTGAGGGAGGAATTGTCCCTTAAGCTTTTCATCAAGTTAACCAGCACTTGGTTAGGACTAGTTTTGTAGGAATAAAACCCTGCATAGAGATTTCTTAATTTAATGCTTCTGAACTATGAAAACATACTTGTATATAGTAGATTGCTTCTTTGTACATCTGGGGTACCTGCAGTAGCATAAGACTGGAGCTTTTGTACTACAGTGCATTATTTTTTTAGAATATCGCTGTATCCTTAATATTTTATATGTAGTACTTAGGAACCATCATATTTTTATCAATGGCATGGGATATAAAATAATTATGTTCCTTCTATAAAACATAATGTTATCCACTTAAGAGTTTGATCAGATTCTAAATGTCAAACATGGATTCAGTCATGACTGAAAAGTGTAACTCCAGACCCTTTCCAAACAGCCAAATAGCCAAACCAGTGCTGTCATCAAAACCAGAATTAAAACCAGGCACAGGCAGCTCTTGCTCGATTTACCGTGTTTGCTGTACTTGTGCATCAAGGAAGCATCAAATCCAGCAAAGAGTATTCAGAAGAATAATAAAGCAATTTATTTAGAATTATGCCACCTCATAAATGATTGTTTTGAAAAGCAAAACCACAAAGCATTAAAAAAAGCTAACTTGCTTTTTACTGGGACCTGAAGAAGCCAAAGCTCTGCTTGTCTGATTGAAATTCAGGGTATATGATCACAAAGACACATCTTTCAGACAGCTGTGTCTTGCTAGTCTCATGAAGGATGAGTAGTTTACATGAGTAGTTCCTAGCTCACTATATTCCAAAGGCAGTTTTTCATATTAGAGAAGGGCAAGAAAGGCACCTAAAATTGCACTTCAGCTGCATGCTGATGGCAGGTTGTAATTTTCTGTACTTTTATTTTTTATGGGAGATGGTATCGATGCTTCCAGTAATGGAATTGGTTATACTAAGGTTTACCTAAACTTCAAATCACACCTTTCTTCTCTCTGCATGGGTT